TATTATTATTATTATTATTATTATTATTATTATTATTATTATTATTAAAAAATAATGCAATATTTTCTATTTCCTTTTTACGTTTTAGCCTCATCTTGCATCACCCAGCCATGCAGTCCCACTGTGCTCCATCCTGTGCCATCCCAAGCTGTAGGCCCGTCCATGCCCTTGGCTCCTGTGGCATCGGCAGTGGCTTTGGCAGTGGTGGTTTCGGTTTAGGTGGCGGATATGGCATGATGGGATATGGCGGTGGCTCTGGACTTGCCACCTCAGCCAGCAGTCTTGGTTTGGTTCCTGGTGTCCCCGTGTCCTGCATCAGCCAGATCCCTCCCTCCGAAGTGGTGATCCAGCCCCCTGCGTTCTCTTTGACCATCCCGGGACCCATTCTGGCCTCCAGTTGTGAGCCTTTGGCTGTAGGGGGTTATTCCCCATGTTCCTCTGGAGGTTACGGTATGTCCGGAGGTTATGGCTCCTCCCGTTATGGACTGGGAAGTTCCTGTGGGTACCTGGGGGGTGGCCGATCCTATGGGTCAAAGCGTAGACAGAGCGTTTGCGGATACCCCTGCTGAACATCAAGCCAATTGTACGTGACACCTCCGACTCCAGGAAATTGGGTCCAATTTTCCCTTCGAGCCCGTTCTCCAGAAAAGCACAGCGCCTGTATTTCAAGTCCAAACTACGAACTGCTTAGCACTCCTAAACCTCGTGCTTTGAACCTAGATGTGCTTCTTCCTCTCTGATGTTTCTATGGCTTAATGTGACTCCCTCCCTCCGTTGTGTTAATGTAGAGCTGGTATTTCAGGCCACGGAGACCCAAAACTGCTCCATCTTCTTCTGTATCATCCTGCACGTTCTTCATTAAAACTTTTGTTGCATCACACACTTTGCCTGTCTTGTCTTGGGGTTGGTGAGTGGGGTGTTCCCCTTTTGGGGGGGGGAGGTGGGGGGGGGAGAAGATGACTCCACAGCACCTTCTAAAGAACCTTCAAGAGTGGCATTTGGTAGTCAAGGCCTTGGAGGAATGATTGATGTTGCCCTCAAAACATCTGGGAGAAAAGCTCTACGAACATCTCAACAAGGGTAACTATTAATCAATTCCTGCAGTCAAGGAGGATCTGGGTCAGAGGAGGAATAGAGTTACGCAAAGTGAGAGGTTCTCACATAATTTAAGGCTGGTGAGAAGTTCTATGTTGATCCAAGCAAGACCAGAAGAACAGTCTGTTCATGCCTACTCAACTTCAAAAGCCAAACAGTTGATGTTCCCTATGTTTGTTCCACCTTAAAGAAGGCTGTAGATCCTATCACTTCCCTTCACATCCTGGGTCCTGAGCAACTTAATCCTCTTATCTTGTGAGATCTCTTGTTTACCTCCCCCAGAAAACACAACTCACCCTTCAATTACCATTCAAGAAAAGGCAGTCCTTCACTGGCTTACATGCTACAGCCCACACACCTTCAACCTACACGATACTAACCCTTCTTCTGCTGAGCTACACTTGTAGGAAAGAGACTTGGCTATAACCACAAGAATGAAACTGGTCAAGAGCAATGTTAGGTTTGGAACTCAAGCTGAGAAGTTCCCAGTTTGGGAAAATGAAGAGTTGTCCCGGTGGAGAAGGGAGAAATTGGAATGTCCCAAGAACACCCAATTACACCCAGTCCTAAACAGAACCTTGTCTACGATAAGCTAACTTTACTCCAAGTCCTACCACGTCCTTGAGGCTTCAGCCATAGAGGCAAGTTCTAGAAAATGGAGTCGCTCTAGTCATTCCCTCTCTGTGGCAGTTCATGATGGAATTCCAAAGATGGAAGGGTCTTCTGTGATCCCCCCATGGGAAACCAAATTCAACCTTCTGAGACCAATGGTTGGTCAGATGCCTCCAAAGTCAGGGAGAAGGGCTGGTCATTTTTTGTCCCATGCTTCTTTCAGTAGAAGATGAAAACGTGTTCAACCTCAATGGTCATCCATGGAATATCCCAGTGGTGAGATTCAGCCAGTTTGCACCAGTTTGGGAGAACTGGTTGTTAACTTTCTGAGCAGTTTGGTGAACTGCTTGTTGGAAGAAATCATGAGGGCACCGAACCAGTTGTTAAATTATTTGAATCCCACCACTGGAATATCCTCCTCTCTTTGAATGAGACTGTATTGAAGGAGACAGAAGGATTCCAAGGAACCAATTGGACATCCAATTTAACAATCCTAACACACTATGGACACTTTTGGCCATCCAGAATAATGTCTACTGAACTTTTTTAACCCTGATTCTTCATGCCACAGAACTTATGGGCCTCTCAAAAGGGAGTTTCCCAAACTCCTTCTAAACAGGGCTGCCGAAATAAGAAGATTATTAAATATTTGAGGAATGACAATAGATTATTGGCGTCAAAATAGTTACTGTTAACTCACACAAAACACAATCAAATAAATTTTCATTATTTTAAACAATACTAAGCTCTTATTTCTTTCAGAAAACAAAGGCATCCTGTATTTTAAAATACTTGGATTCATTTGAATTATTTCATACTCCTTGACTATTAATGGCTTGTGTTATTTTAACGGTTGGGAAACATTATGAAACCGCACAACCTAAAGGGTGTGTATGTGACATAAATCAAGCTCTCTGGTTTCGGGAGGATTCAGAATCCCCATTAGACTTAAATTATTTAAATGGCATTTATGTTGCTGATTTACATCATTTTAGAAACCACAATGCCATTTGAGAAACAAATGGGTTTTCTCATTAAATTTTGTTGACCGTGTTAATGAATCTGGGTTGTCACTGACAGTTGTCACTGTTTGCATATTTTATTTGGGGTTGTATTATATTTTTTAAACCTGTGGGAGCATTCTTTTGGTTATGATAGCTTACTTTTTGGGGGGAGAGCAACTGTCCCAGCCAAGAGGAGGAGGAGACAAGTGGGGAATTAGCTTAGACTACACTATGTGTAAAGACAAGAGGGCAAGATCTAGCCCCCCTAAATGTCTCTGAGTCTTATCTGGTCTTTCCCAGGTGAAAAATGCCAGGAGATTCCTGTATTATAGGCAGAAAACAATAAAGTAGCTAATTTGAACTCTACACATGTGTGCCTAGTTGTTCGTGCCTGGCACTATCAAATAAATCTTTCCAAACTACTGCTGTGCACTCTTAAAGAAAAGAATAACACAGTTGGAAAAGGGACCTTGGAGGTCTTCTAGACCAACCCCCTGCTTAGGCAGGAAACCCTACACCACTTCAGACAAGAGGTTATCCAACATCTTTTTAAAAACTTCCAGTGTTGGAGCATTTACAACTTCTGGAGACAAGTTCGTTCCACTAGTTGATTGTTCCTCACTATTAGGAAGTTTCTCCTTAGTTCTAAGTTGCTTCTCTGCTTGATTAGTTTCCACCCATTGCTTCTTGTCCTGCCTTCAGGTGCTTTGGAGAATAGCTTGACTCCCTCTTCTTTGGGGTAACCCCTCAAATATTGGAAGACTATTATCATGTCTCCCCTGGTCCTTCTTTTCATTAAACTTAGACATACCCAGTTCCTGCAACCCTTCTTCCTATGTTTTAGCCTCCAGTCCCCTAAGTCTTTACTATGAACAAGAATCTGGCAGAGTAAACCACATATTTCTACCAGGAGCAGGGAAACAGAGAATAAATTGGAAGGAAAATAAAAATATTCACAAACGGGACTTATAATGCAGCACAAGCTTTAATAGGGCAAAAGAAGATCGTATGATACAGCAACAGTTGGATTCTAACATTTCTGTCTCTTTACCAATTTCCCTTTCCCAGTGCAATTACAGAACAGATGAAAACGACAGAAAAGTTGGCTTTAAACTTGCGGTTTCCATAGAACAAGCAAAGAGAAAAAGAACAGGTTTTCAGAAAGGGCCTAGAGCGCGAGACAAATACCTGCACTCAATTGTCTCATTGGGCAAACAACTTAACAATTTGGCTGGCAGTCTTTTACGTTCCAGGCATACATTCACTGACGTCGCAACGGGTTTTCAGTCCTTCAGGTTCTTCTCGGATGAGCTTCGGTTTAGCACGGTGAACCACAGATGCTGAATTTGCGTCGGGGGCCACAGATGCCCCTTGAGCCGAGCAGCCCACGAGAATAGGAGCCCCCAAAAGATCCCGCAGCACATCCTGAATAACCACCGACGGCCACCGGTTCGCAACTCGCCGCCAGAATGGGTCCTGGGAGGGTCACCACAACGGATGGAGGCTGGATCACCACTTCGGAGGCTGGGATCTGGCTGATGGGAGATGGGGTCACTCCGGCAAGCGTGCCGAGGCTTCTAGCGGATGCAGGACCACTACCGGAGCTGAAACCTCCATAGCCCCCGAAACCCCCGATGCCACCATAGCCTCCAAAGCCCCCGAGGGAAGACGGAGTCCCACATCCTCCGAGACCTACGGTGGGTCTAGCAGCGCAGGATGGGATGGCGCAAGATGGAGGGCAGCATGGTGTGCATGGAGGGCAGCAAGACATGATGGATCTGGAAGAAGAACATGAGAAAAGATATCCACGGTGAACAATGCTCATTGGAAGAAGTTATAATTGATGTGCTCTTGATGCCAGCGTTCGAGAAAACCTCCCATTCCAGCCAATAACTCCGAGACAGACATCCTCTCCAAAGTTCTTTTTTTACTTGGGTAGTTCAACTGGCACATCTGAGGAATCCCGAATGTGAAAGTTCTGGATTTCCTTACAAAAAGTAAAAAACTACAAATCCACCCCCTGCATCCATCATTGCATCACATGCCTCCATCACCATCCATCCCAACTTGAGATGTCCCCTCACCCAGGTGCATAAACAACATGACCTTGACTTAGAAAAAAGAATGCTATTAGGTCTAACCACATACGCTCCAAGAAATTCCCCCCTCCCATTTCCCCAGGCTCAAGAATGTGGCAGCGTGGAGGCGTCTGATGCTAATATGGCTTCCAAAGCTGAGACTTGATTTGCACGAGGTCGGATTTAATTAATCCTTCCTTTAACGGCTTAGCAAGTTGCAGGGACGCTGTTTGTGGCTGGATCTCAGGAGGCGGGCTCATTCAGACCATTGGCTACACATCTGGCGGCTCACACACCTTGTGAATCGGTCTCCTCACCAACAAAGAAGATTTGTAGCTCAGGGTTGAAATGAGGAGTCCTTGGTGCTCTCTGAGCTTGGTTGTTTTCTCGCAGACATTTCATGGCCCATCTAAGTAACCTCATCAGTGCTAGAAGGAGTATTTGCAGCAAAGCGCACTAGCACCGATGTTGTTCGCTGGTTTGGGTCATGAAATGTCTGCAAGAAGACAAGGAAGCTCAGACAGCACCAATGTTCTCCTGGCTTTAAGGATCTCCTCCAGTCAATAAACTATGTGTTTCTTCTGAAAAAAATCTGCATTTTTACTGTCTACGGGGCTGAAGGAAGCCATGAGTAGAACAAGATCTAGAACAGGGGTCTCCAACCTTGGCAACTTTAAGACTTGTGGACTTCAACTCCCAGAGTTCCTCAGCCAGC